ATCCTTGCCTTTAAGATCTACATAATTGTATTGAGGATAATAGGTTATGGTAGAATATAGAAACACTTAGAAACTGCTGAAGTCTTATGCAGTGGATTCGAGACTTTTAAACGCCTTTAAGTCCCGAAGGGCCCCAAAGACCGTTGAACGGTCTTAAATGCTCTCTCTCTCTCTCTTGCATTAAAGAACTTGAAGTCCCTTAGAGGCCGGTATAGACACCCAATTGCTTTTAAACACTCGGCACTTAGGGACCATTAAAAGCTAAACTTCTCGTCCAGAAGACCTCTTAAAGGTAAAAAAAAACAAACTCGAACGGCTTTTGAACCTTCCCACTATTCCGATGAGTCCGAAAAACTGATACAGCTTCTGATAGGTATCTAACGATGTCCATGAACTTGGCAGGCCTACTACAGCAGACCATGGCTCTGCTTACTCATATCGTTAGTGTTCCGTTAGTGCACGTTAGTGCCGCTGAAGAAATCGTTAGTGCACAAAAGGAAACTATTGGAAAAATATTGGTGGGTCTGCTAACTTCATGCCAGCAGACCCATTTGAGAAAATCGATTCAATCTTTACACTAGTTAAACTAGCAGCGTTAGTGCTCGTTAGTGACGCCAATATAAACGTAAGTGCTCAAAGTGTAACAGCTCAAAACGTTGTAAAAAGGGGTCTGCTAACTTCATGCAGCAGACCCACATTGGTTAAATTGGCTCTGTCCTAATGCGAATTTGAAGCGGCTCGTTAGTGCTCGTTAGTGCTTCACATGCGAACGTTAGTGCTGCAAGGAATCCGCGTCAAAAAGGTACCAAACCACCTCAAAATTGACCGGCCAACTTTATGCCAGTAGACCAATGAACGAGATCCGTTTGATTTTCTACTTTAATCGACCGGTAAGTATTAGTGCTCGTTAGTGCCGCCAATATAAACGTTAGTGCTCAAAGTGTAACAGCTGAAAACGTTGTAAAAAGGGGTCTGCTAACTTCATGCAGCAGACGCAAATTTGTCAAATTGGCCCTGTCCTAATGCGAATTTGAAGCGGCTCGTTAGTGCTTCACATTCGAACGTTAGTGCTGCAAGAGATCCTCACCAAAAAGGTACCAAACCACCCCAAAATTAAACGTGGCTTATTGGGACCTGCCAACTTCACGCCGGTAGACCAACAAACGAAATCCGTTTGATTTTCTACTTTAATTGATTGATCAGTATTAGTGATCGTTAGTGTCGCAAAAAAAAAGGTAGCGCCCAAAGCGCAAGAGCTCAAGCGTGAAATTATGGGTTTGCTAAATTCATGCAGCAGGCCCACATTTATTAAAGTAGTCCTGTCTTAATGCGAATCTGAAGCTCCTCGTTAGTGCTCATTAGGACTTCACTTGTACACGTCAGAAATAGAAACCAGAGCTAGTAAAGACATCACTAATTTAATCGTTATATAGTTTTTCACAAAGCAAACTCATATTTTCACATCTAGAGCTGTTGTGCTTTGAGCACTAACGCTTTTTTTTGCGACACTAACGATCACTAATACTGATCAATCAATTAAAGTAGAAAACCAAACGGATTTCGTTTGTTGGTATACCGGCGTGAAGTTGGCAGGTCCCAATAAGCCATGTTTAATTTTGGGGTGGTTTAGTACCTTTTTGGTGAGGATCTCTTGCAGCACTAACGTTCGAATGTGAAGCCGCTTTAAATTCGCATTAGAACAGGGCCAAATTGACAAATGTGCGTCTGCTGCATGAAGTTAGCAGACCCCTTTTTACAACGTTTTGAGCTATTACACTTGGAGCACTAACGTTTATATTGGCGGCACTAACGAGCACTAATACTTACCGGTCGATTAAAGTAGAAAATCAAACGAATTTCGTTCGTTGGTCTACTGGCGTGAAGTTGGCAGGTCCCAATAAGCCAAGTTTAATTTTGAGGTGGTTTGGTACCTTTTTGGTGCGGATCCTTTGCAGCACTAACGTTCGCATGTGAAACACTAACGAGCACTAACGAGCTGCTTCAAATCCGCATTAGCACAGGGCCAATTTGACAAATGTGGGTCTGCTGCATGAAGTTAGCAGACCCCTTTTTACAACGTTTTGAGTTGTTACACTTTGAGAACTAACGTTTATATTGGCGGCACTAACGAGCACTAACGCTGCTAGTTTAACTAGTGTAAAGATTGAATCGATTTTCTCAAATGGGTCTGCTGGCATGAAGTTAGCAGGCCCACAAATATTTTTTAAAAATAGTAAGTTTCCTTTTGTGTACTAACGATTTCTTCAGCAGTACTAACGTGCACTAACGGAACACTAATGATATTAGTAAGCAGAACCATGGTCTGCTGTAGTAGGCCTGCCTAGTTCATGGACATTATCTAACGCTATTAGAGAATTTTAAAAGCCCTTAAAAGGGCACCAGTTATTTTTCAGTCTCATAGGAACAACTAACTATTGACTCTTAGATACCCTTAAAATCTCGCATGTACGTTAGAATGGTATGAGAGCAAGTACAGGGTGTCCCATTTTCAACATTTTTACAGGGTTTTCTAATTAAATTATAATTTGTGATTTCAAAAACTCAATAAAAACAAGGATTTTTTCATTAGCAACTAAAAAAACGTTATATGTAAGCATAGAACTTTTTTTGATTTGCTTGAACGCTTTGGTTTTTCTTCTTTGTACTATTTGAAATGAATAATTTGTCATTTTTTAGGAGTAGCGTAGGTTTTCAATATGGCATCTATCTTTTACTACCCTGCTTTTTTCACTCGGATTATTTAACTTATATGGAAGTCTATCCAATATTCTACTAACTTCTATTTGCAATAATAATAATGAGAAAAAATTGCACTTGCATCACAAAACACGGTCACTCCTTAGTTACGTGACTGGGAAATCCCTTTTACCAAAGCTTCGAACTTGCACCACAAACAAGGTCACTCTTTAGTTACCTCGGCAGATAAATCCTTTTTCAAGACGCCTGTCATGAAAACCCTAAACCCAACACATGCCTTTAGAAGACGATTATCAACCTGAAAATTAAGGGGGGTAAAGGCCTGGGGAAAGCGGCGTAGGTTCTGGAAGAAGCAGACAGGTGCTCCCAGTAACCTAGGGACCAAAGCTCGGTTCCATTGGTCCTGATGCTCGGGCGACAATGTCCGACTTAAATACAAAAACCACTAAAGTCGTAATGGAGGAGTCGCTACCTCCAACCACCACCGATCAAGGCCTGTCCGACATCGAGAGGACCTTATTGGCCTTTGACGAAGACACTAGCCTAGACCCTCCCTCCGAAGAAACACCTGAGGACTGCAAATTTTCGGGTAACAAAGCCTCAGAAGAGACAAGCTATAGAGGACATGCAATTAAAGGTCACTTCATCAAGTAAAACTTTGTGGAGCAGCTCGCAAGCGGTTCAATAAACTAATAGGTGCTGGACATAACCCAAACGAGACTAGGATCATGGCTGCAAAGTCAAGCAACACCCAACAAAAGCCTCAGGAGGGCCAGCAGGCTCAAGGCTCAGTGGTAAAGCGTTGGGCTGCCTAGCCGGAGGTCGGGTGTTCGAACCTGGGCTGAGGAAAGAATTTTTTATCTGTGGCAGACCAGTTTCGAGCATTCTGATGGCTACTTCTGAAAGTTTTATTAATTCGTAAGCACCTCTAAAAAGCATTAATTTATGCGGGTCAGTCTGTAATTGAGCGGAAGCCTGTTGAAGGCCCAGAACAAGAGAGAGACTATAAATAAATAAAGAAAGAAAGATAGAAAGAAAGAAAAAAGAACTAAAGAAAGAAAGAAATAAACAGTTAGTAGTTCTGTCCCCAGATGGGAACGCAGATAATTCCCTTAAAAAAAACCCGTCCTCATCTCCACATCTTCTTGAGCCAAGGAGGAAGGCGGAGGCGCCTCCACACCTCCAAAGAAAACCTTTCAGGACGCTGTCCAGGGCATCAAGGTGGGATCTTCTCGACAAAACATGGTCAGGAGAAAGAACGGATCCCCTCATTCTGCATCATTTGGATAATAGCTTGACCTCCTCCTTTCCTAGCAGGCAGAATAGTGGGATGGAGGGTGTCTGACGAGTTGTGCATGTACGAGGAGTTAATGAAAAGCATTACCGCAGGCCTCTGCAGGAGGGTGATGGATCAAGTTGACCTAGAGCGACTTGCTACATTCCTCGCTGATGCCCTTTTCTTCTCGTTTGAAATTCCCGTATCCTCTCGCCTACGGAAGGTGCTCTCAAAGGAGAAGAACAACCCTTTGGGAATGATGGTGGAGGCAGATGGTGACCGTGCTCAGCTAGAGAGTATTTGCAGCTCTTGAGGGGAACCCATTTCGCGGGACAAGAGGCTAACTTGGAAGCCTCACATCACCATGGCGGTCAACAAGGCCACTACGGCCTTAATGAGCTGTCGACGCCTCAATAACCTCCAAGATGCTTATGGAAGAAATAACCAGGCGTAATTAGTGTGGGTACTAATTCACGAGGGGATAGCCGGTAATGAGGAGGCTAAGGTCGGCACTAAACATCCCCAAATTGGACCGGAACCCCACTGTGGAGCACCACCAAGTCTAGCTGGAGGAGTGAAAAGAAGTCATCTCAGAAAAGGAAGGAGAGAATCTTCCCCAGGACTAAGACAATCCAAGAAACTGATCGGTTTCCAGGAGACCAAAACCGGCTCGCTGCTAGCACTCAGCAGAGGTGAACTAACGGCATCTGCTTTGAGGAGGAAGAGACGGCAGAACACCTCATCTGATTGGTGAGACTGTCACCGGACCTGGGTGAGGCTGCAATAGCACCTCAGCAGATCAGGGAGTTGCAGCCGGAAAAGATCCTCAGATTTTTCAACAAAACTGCCTCCCTCGGAGTAAGATGCTAGGGGCAAGCACAATAGACCAAAGGGTCAAAGTGGATCCATACTTGGGACTTAAGGCGGCAGAGTCAGATTACAGCTTTTCAAGCTGCTTAGAAGGTGTTTGTTCCTTCACTTTTAAGTGAAATCGAGTACAGTCTAATAAAACTACGTCAGGCGTTTAATTAAGCATTCGCAACTGCGATAATAATTTCTTTGTAAATTTGGATGCCCTGCAGGAACACATCTACGTTCAGGAACTCGTCGTCCGCATGCGCTCTAATCGGCGTATCCTGTTTCGCACCAAAACCAAAAGTGGGAATACCAACGGACCTTAGAAATCTTCCATCCGTATTTCCCCGAGCTATGATGAGCTGTATCTCGTACCCCCTTCAACGAACCGAGTTAGAAAGTGCACGCTTCAAAACAAAGTTACATTTTTTTCGACGCCTCGTTGAAGGCAACCCAAAATACGTTCGACTCATCAGTCGCCGTATTAGGAGAATCGCCGTCCTTGAGGATATCTTCAATCCACACTCCTTCCCCAGCACTCTTGCACCACTCCTTCACCCTACCCTCAACGCTGTCATAATCCTCAACCGGAATGCGAAGGTCGAACACCAAAACGAACTCCTCGGGAATAACGTTCCCCTGAACTCCTCCCTAAAACACCTTCACAACACCCGATCAGATTGGCCTCAACGCACCCGCATTATGGTAAGGTTAACGGTCGTCACGTGATCTCCACTTTTCTCTCTGTCCTCCTTCGCCTTTTGCTCTGCTCGAAATGCGTAAAGCTTATTCAGAATGGCCCGCAGTTTTTCTCCCGGAGTGTTCTTCAGCAGAAGCGACCCATGTCCAGATTTTCCCGGACAGTGAACGGCAAACTCTGGAAGCAAGGGATTAGTGAACGATTGTGAATTGTGAACTTACTCCAGTTTCTCTTCTCGCCGTACTGGACAACAAGAGTTTTGCCGTTACCGCTCCTCCCTTCGTCTATGGCGAACCCGACCTTCAATCCTTTAAAGTTGTCAGTCTCGACGTACTTCATGACACCTTCACCTCCACCAAGTTCCTCGTCTGGAACACGCCGAAGGTAAGCCATTGGACTCAGTTTAACACTCACCTGGCACGAAGGTCACGTGAACCGTTCGCCGAGGCCGAACGCCCTGAATCTTCAACCTCCTGATCGCCTCCAGGTACTGAATCCCCGTCGATTTCGTATCCTGAGCGCCGCGCGCGTAGATATCCCCCTTCTCGTCGATGTCGGCGTCGAACGGCCTATGCGTCCAATTCTCCTGCAAGCCAACGTTAAAAAAAATCGCGCCGAAGGGACCAACCTCGAACACGGGCACCACGTCCATGTGACTATTCAGCATGACGCTAGGAAGCGACCGCTCCTTGCCCGGCCACGTCAGTACGACCATCGGATTCTTCGGCACGTCCCGAAAGACCCGGAACTGCAGCCCGATGTCCTTCGCCTGCGTCTCCAGAAATTCGACGCACGGCTCTGCGAAGAAGGTTGATAGCGGGGAAGCAAAACCGCGCGTACTTACCGTAGTCGATGTCGGGATGCACGGACGGTATGCGGAGGTACCGTCGAAAATTTTCGACGGCGATGGTGTCCAGTTCTTTCGACGACAGATCCATGGCGTTTATGATACCGAAATATCTTCGATGTGTTTATGAATAGAGCGAGCGCGAGAGGATGCGGTTAACCAAAACCGCCTGTTGACAATGTTTTCAAGACTTCGGCTGATTGAAAGGAATGTGACACAAACAGATCATCCTAAAGCAATCTTAAAGTTCTAATGCGTGTCTACTACGTTCACGTGATACCTGCTGTGCTCCTGGTACAACCCACTTTTGTCACGTTTAGTATTAGTACGATCACCATTTCGCCAAAGGAGTTTTAGGAAGAAGACAAAGCACCTCAATGTCTTCATTTTAATTCCATAAGTTAATATCAGGAGAACAGAGGTGAAAATCTCCTGTAGAGAATTTACTAGCATATGCGTTCCGATTGCCGATGAGAATCTCACGGTTGCGTTGTTTCATTAGAAGCAAATGGCCGACAAAGTTGAAATAAAATACACCTTCTCGCAATAGGACATATTTATGAACCCCTAATTCAATAGCAAAACAGGAATTTTCCATTAAACGCCATTAAAATAAGCGTTTTAGGTCTACACAACATAGGAATTTCTCTAACAAGTAAAAAAAATGCTGCTATCCTAATTCCAAAAATTTCAAAAAGTGTTAATGGTATCAGGAGCAAATAATTCGACTGGAACATAGCTCACGTTTCATATTCCCCAAAAAATTTTCATTTTCCTATGTCAAAGGCGTAGGATGAACAAACAGAACCAAATACTTCGTCACCGATATCAAAGCGCTAATAAAAATAATACTTTCCCACCATGCAGTTTATCAGGAGCGTATTTGCAATTCTCCTGATACATTTTTTTAAAAACAATAATAGAATAAAAATTGTAACAGGTATTATAAATGGACTGATAAGTCCCAACAAGCGGACCTGTAATCCTAATAACACATTTTTGTAGTCCGATGTCCCCCGGGAATCCTCACACACAATTGGGATAATGTAAGGATCGTGACATAGCTTTGTTACAGGAGAACATAACTTTAAATGGGTTTCTGTGGCCCTGATACAAAGATTGCAGCTTTGTCCGTCATTTAGTTAAAACCTTCGTCTATCCTGTTACATTAGGAGGTCATATAATGCGAGACGGTTTCGTTTCCGTTCCGTGTCTGCGATTCAAATACAAACTCTTCTGGGTGTGTCTGGAAATATTGCAAAATGGCATACGCACATGTATTAGAAGCGTGTAATGCGTGAGAGAGTGTTTTATCAATATATTCTTGACTTACTGCGATTCTGGATTCCTGGTATCCTTTAAAAGAATCCTGCCTCCGGAGACAATAATACGCGCATAAGTGTTGGACATGAGGTTTGAAAAGTTTTGGGTCTCTGTTATCCTGATACAAAGTTCCTTAAATAAGATGTATCAGGACAGCATAATACTTGTCAATGTTTCTTGTGGAGCATTCGAAATCTTCTTGCGGCTTATGTGATCCTGATACAAAGTTCCGATAAATAAATTTTGGATTAAGCGAAATAATTTTGGCTATAGTTCTAATGCATGTAACAGGAG